GGATATACCCAAATCTATGGGCATTGACTATCTAGAAACCTTAGCTCTAGTTGTTAAGATGAATTATATTTGTGTGATTATGTCACTTACTGCCCACTTTTCTTGGCCTTTATATCAGATGGATGTGAAGAATGCCTTTCTTAATGGGGATCTACAAGAAGAAGTGTATATGGACTTACCTCCTAGAGTAAGCTTCCCTAACAGTGAAGGGAAAGTTTGTCATCTGAAGAAATCTTTGTATGGCCTCAAGCAATCCCCTAAAGCCTAATTTAACAGATTTAGAAATGTTGTTTTGAATATTGGATTCTCTCAGTCTCAGGCTGATCACACCTTATTCATAAGGAAGTTCGATGGTCAATTGACTATGTTGATAGTATATGTTGGTGATATCATTATGACTGGGGATGACATCTCAAGTATCTCTCAAAGTCCTTTCTTGCTTCAGAATTTGAGATAAAGGATCTCGGTGATCTTAAATACTTTCTTGGAATTTTTGCAAGATCCAAAAAGGGGACCCTCCTCTCTTGAAGAAAGTATGTTCTTGATTTGCTCCATGAAGTTGGGAAATTGGGATGCAAGCCTACAAAAACTTCAATTGATCCCAATCACAAGTTGAGTACCATTGAAGGAGATGTTCTTCTAGACAAAAGCAGAAAGTGGTTGGCTGCCTTCTTTACCTCTATTTAACTAGACCTGATATATCATATGCAGTTGGGGTGGTCGGCCAATAAATGCATGAGCCCAGAACCTCCCACATGAAGGCTATTAATAGAATCCTAGTTTATTTGAAGGGATATCTTGGTAAAGGGATGTTTTAATCCAACCACGGGTATCTAAAGGTTGAGGCCTACCCAGATGCAGACTAGGTAGGGGCTATTGATGATAGAAGATCTACATCCGGTTATTGTGCCTTAGTTGGAGGTAATGCTGTTTCACGAAGAAGCAAGAAACAATCAATTGTTGATCGATCTAGTGCTAAGGTAGAATATAGGGCAATGGCCCATGGAGTATTAGAATTACTTTGGTTGAAGATCTCATTGACCAAGATAAGCATCCAAGCTGAACTCCAATGAGATTCCACTACAACAATCAAACAGCCATAAACATTGCCCACAATCTTGTGCAACATGACCGTACAAAACTTGCAAGAGCCGGTTTCTAGTTTCATTTCCTCTCCAGCTGCTTCTTTGGCCTTAAACTGGGATTTTGGTTTTTGGAGAAGGTTACGTGATGACAAAAGTTCTTGTGTATCAAAATTGTTGTCTTCACTTGAGTTTGTTTGCCTAGATCCTCTCAAACCTGACACAAGAAATTGGACCCCTAACCCGAAAAGCATCTTAACCTGTTCTTATTTCTTCAAGTCCCTCTACTCCACTTCTGCACCCTAGAACTTCCCAATTAAAGAAATCTGGACAAGGCCCATTCCCCCAAATATTGTTGTTTCTGGTTGAAAAGTTTATTATGGTAAGATTAATACCTTTGAAAACCTACAAAAGAGGAGACCAAAATGGTGTTTATCCCCTAATTGGTATGTTCTTTGTAAAGCTTAGAATGAGGACTGTCACCACTTACTCATCTCTTACTCCTTTGTTGCAACTTTATGGAATTGGATTTTTATGTTGTTTGAGTGTAGGTGGAACTTGTCATCTAATATTAGCATGTTGTTTAGTCCGTCTACTTTTGAATGGCACAAAAAAGAGAGGAAGAATTATGTGGAAGTGCATAAGAGCAGTGATGTAGGGTGATTTGGCCTGACCTAGTAATAGGGGGACATGTGGACACGACCTTACTAGAAGGGTGACAGCTCAGTCCGACGCACCAAGTCTGCAATGGATAGAGCTCGGATAACCAAACCACCTCGAGGCAAGTCCACCTCGGGACAAGTTCACTTCGGTGCACGATCGCATCAGGACCACCTCAGTCCCAAGGCACTTCGGCATTCATACCAGGTCGGATCCAAAGGGCACTAGCTCGGGTAATATTGATCGACCACTGCATGGCAACCCCGAAGATCTCGTCACCAGATTCCACGCCTTACAGGATCACGCCTCGTAACAGCTAGCATTATCTCCCCCGTCCGATTTGGGCAGAAGTGATGAATCTTACCAGTTGGCAGCGTTATCTCCAATTAACGCGGAACGGACCTCATCGTAACAAGGATCCTGGAACCACTCCGCAAAACCCACGAGGACTCCACTATATAAAGGCTCCAGCCCCCGGGGGTGAAAGGTACGCGTAACCTCTGCTCTCTAGCCCTCTTGCATTCTAAGCTATTATCAGCTCGCAACCAAGTACTAACTTAAGCATCGGAGCGACCTCGCCAGGTAAGCAACCCCGGGTTCTCTGATTCACTTTTTGCAGATCAACCGAGTCTATTGTCTACTGGAAGCCAGATCACCTCCAGCTGGGAGCAGCCGGATTGCGCTACATCAAGCAGCTTTGTTGTGGACTGTTTGGGAAGAAAGGAACGCCAAAACTTTTTGTGAAAAAGAAGTTTTTCGGAAGTTAATGAATGTATTTTGACAAGGACAATTTAGTGGTTGAAAACTTTAAATCTCTTTGATGCATACTCTTTCGATGACCTATGGAGGAGCTAGTTAGCAGTGGTTAATACTTCTACCAGGAAGAACGGATATGTGGTTGAATGGATGCCACTTGGGGAGGAGTTTATTAAGTTGAAATTTGATGGGAGTAGCCGAGGTAAGCCTGGACCTTTGGGTATAGGAAGAGTGCTGAGAAATAAAGACAGTAGCATTACATCTTTGTATTCAAGTCCTGCAAATGTGGGAGACCCTTTAAGGGCCGAATTACTTGTCGTTGTACAAGGAATCAAGTTTGCAAACCAGCTAGGAATAGAGCATCTGCTTATTAAAGGGGACTCCCAGGTGATAGTCGATTTGGTTGCAGGATGTATAGAGATCTCCTCAAAAAGGTTAAATGGCTAACAAGGAATACGACAATTAGAGTTCAATGGGTAGGCAGATCAGCAAACCCAATGGCTGACTCACTTGCAAAAGGGGGGTTTTTCGATCTAACCTTATTTGGGCTCCTTTGTAATTTCATTTGAACTTATAATTTGTAACTAGTTTTAAAGGAAATGTTGCATCTGGTGCCTTTCCATGGGTTGCATGTAACTTATTTGCTGAATTAATAAAATCTTACTCATTTATAAAAAAAAGGACCGTACAAAACATATCAAAGTGGATAGACACTTTATCAAAGAAAGGATAGTAAGTGGAGAGATTTTCTTGTCAACACTCTTGGCCGAATAGAGAAAAGAACAAGAATAATCTTAGAGGTGTCAAGAATGAATGACCCCCACCTCAAAGAGTCTCTTATATATTAAAGGATATGTACAATTACAAGAATGCCCATACAGGGCTGAAAGAGAAAAGAAGAAGAAGATGTAAAAGTAATATACAACAAGGACTATACTAATAAGGTACATCAAGTTATAGAGTCTCCACACCCCCCCCCCTCAAACCGATGCCTCGACATAAGCATCAATCTGTCTATAAGAAAGAGATGTCGAACTCTAGTCATAGCTTTGGTGAAGATATCAGCAACCTACATGTCTGAGGCTACATGAGGAAGCGATATAGACCCAATAGTGAAGAGATCTCCGATAAAGTGGCAATCCACCTCGATGTGCTTGGTCCTCTCATGGAAGACAGGGTTAGATGCAATCTTGATAGCACTCATATTGTCTACATAAAGAGGAATAGGAGTAGGAACCTAAATGACAAGATCCATAAAGAAAGACTATAACCAAACAATCTCACTGCAAACCGAAGATATGGCCCTATACTCTGCTTCAGTGGAAGACTTGGAGACTGCTTGTTTCTTACACTTCCAAGAGATGAGTGAATCACCCATAAAAACACACCACCCAGACGTGGACCTACGAGCGTCTGGACAACCAGCCCAATCCACATCAGCATATGCTCTCAACTAAATAGGAGAGGAGGAGAAGAACAGCCCCTGGGAAGTTGTGCTTCTAACATATCGAATGATGCAATGAAAAGCAGTCATATGAGGCTGACGAGGAGCATAAACAAATTGACTAACAACCTGGACAGCATGAGAAATATCAGGTCGAGTCATAGTGGGATAAATGAGGGACCCCACAAGGTGTATCAACATGCTTTTCATCATTAAGACCAACAAGTTTAACAAGGTCAGAGGCATACTTCTACTGAAAAACAAAATACCCTCGATCACTGTGATGCACTTCCAGTCCCAGGAAATATGTGGGAGGCCCCAAGTCCTTCATGTGAAAGGAATTATGAAGTAATAGTTTCAATTCACGAATGCCTTCAGCATCATTCCCAGTCAACATGTCATCAACATATAGTAGGAGAATGGTAATACCCTGAGGTCGTCGCCTAACAAATAAAGAGTGATCAGAAGAACTCTGGCTATATCCAGCAGCAACAACAACATCGCGAAAGCGTTCAAACCATGCCCATGGAGCTTGTTTTAGACCATATAGAGATTTTTTGAGGCAACATATTAAAGAAGGATCACTGCACGTCAAGCTGGCATATGGTCCAAGACTGAGCAACAGACACTACTAAAAGAACACGGACTGTGGTGATCTTTGCAATAGGAGCAAAGGTTTCTTCATAGTCAATACCATACTCTTGACTATATCCTTGGGCAACTAAACGTGCCTTGCATCGATCAAGAGATCCATCAGACTACAGCTTAATGTTGTAAACCCAACGACTCTCAACAATGGATGCATCTGGAGGAGAAGGCACAAGATCACAAGTGTCATTCTCATGTAAAGCATGAATCTCTACATCCATGGCTTCCTTCCAATGAGGGCTACTATTAGCTTCCCAGTAGGAGCGAGGAACATCTGTGGAGGATAGGACAACAGACAAAGAGCTATGGTTTGAAGGAAAACAATAGCGGTCAGGAGGTCTAGATATACGAGTAGAACGATGGAAAGGAACAAAAGTATGAAGAGTGTCTGAAGTTGAGGTATCACTTACAGGAGCAGTGGTAGGATGATGATCTGAACCAAAAGGAAGGAGAGTTGCAGGTGCAGGGGCTAGAGCACGTAACCGCTTGCGAAAGAAGACGAGAAAGTCCTCAGCAGAAGGAGGTGGAGCATCCTGCGAATCAAAGTTTGGCAAAATAAAAATAGATAGTGCAGACAATCTAGCAATTCCAGCAAAAAATGAAATGTGCTCAAGGAAAACAACATTAAGTGATATACGAATGCGGCGAATAAAGGGATCATAACAAAGAAATCCTTTGTGTGCAGGACTGTAACCCACAAAGGCACACATGACAAACTGTGCAGACAATTTAGAACGTTCACGAGAGGGAATATGAACAAAGCACACACATCCAAAGACATGAAGCATAGATAAATCTGGAGAATGACCAAATAACTTTTGAAAGGGAGACATATTACCAAGAACTGAGGAAGGAATGTAGTTGATCAACAACACAGTTGTACTGGCTGCCTCTACCCAAAAGGAAGGTGGAGTATGACACTCTTGCCATAATGTCCTCACAACACTAAGGATATGTCCATTCTTGCGCTTGGCCACACCATTTTGCTAAGGAGTATCTGGACAACTTCGTTGCACTTGTATTCCATGATCCTTCAAATAGGATAAAAAATCTCCATTAGTGTTCTTCTCCTGAATCTGAATGGAGAATACGCATTAGTGATTGAAACTGAACCCGCACCATAGCATGAAACAACTTAAATGTTGGGAACACACTTGTGGTGAAGAAAATATATCCATGTGTACCCGGTACAATCATCAATGAACGACACAAAATATTTGTATCCAAGCCGAGAAAGGACAGAAGCAATCCAGACATCACTATGTATAAGCTCGAAGGGAGAGGTAGCATGCTTAGATGTGCGAGGAAAAGGTAAGGTACGACTCTTACTTAAGCAACAAGAAACACAAGATGTATCAAAGGTGTGCAAGGAACTTTATTCTTAATAAGGCCAGAATCAAACAAAAATTTTAACTTTTCAAAATGTAAATGACTCAGACGCTTATGCCATAAGTCCCAAACATTATTTCTATGATTCAGAAAGGAACTAGAAGTGGAGGAACTGAAATAAACTGATGATGCTGCCGTTTGAGGCTTCTCGAACTCCAATGCAAACAGACGGCCCAGCCTGCGCCCCTTCCCTTTCACCTTCCCAGTGTTCCGGTCCTGAATCAAGCATCCATCCTAAGAGAAAATGAGAATGTTACCTTCATCAATTAATTGGCCAACAAAAATCAAGTTTGTAGTGAGATTAAGAACAAGAAGGGTCTTGGTAAGAGGGAAAGATGCAGTGGGTAAAAGCTTAAGAAACATATCACTACTACCAATGATGTTTAACTTTTCACCATTGGCAGCAACAATATGTTTGTGATGGATTTTAGTAAGGTTACTTGGTTGGTTAGGGTAGGCTCTTGTCATGTGATTGGTAGCTCCAGAGTCAATGATCCAAATATGAGAAGGAGAAGCACAATAACCGAAAAACTCACCAGGTAAGCCAATAGCAGAAAGAGCAGAAGGAATAGCAGATGTTACCAGTTGTCAAATGTTTTGCTCAACCATAGATGCCAGAAAATCACCTTTAACAAAAGAATCGCCACTATCGAAGGCCATTTTAGCAAGAAAACAGCAGTCCAGGCACAAGGATATCAGAGACAACCAAATTTAGCAATCAAGAAGATGACAGTCCAAAAAAGGCAAGTTTTTAAGATTGTCGAGTCTAAGGCCTTTCAAATATGAATCCGAAGTCTGAATCAAATAAATGGGAGGCAAGAAAACCCTAGGACAACACCAAATCTTGGGTTATAGGTTGATTGAGTCAGCTGATTGAGAGATATCTGTGATTTACCAATACATCAAACATCTTCTTCACGAACAGGGAGGTATCTTATGTTGATTGAGGCAGCCCTTAAAAACTCCAAACCAGAAACTGAGTGTAGGGTTAAGGAGAGCTTGAGAGAACCCTTCGATCTGGAGAGAAAACTTAAATTGCATGCTAATGTTGAAGGCCTAAAGTCCAAAAAAGGTTGCAGTTCAAAAATGGAAACTGTAAGTGCTGCCACCCCAAGAAGAAGATCAGAACTCCTTCAAAAACTTCACCAAATCAGATGATGTTTGTAGGTGGAATAGATCAGGTCTAGGCAACACCAGATCTGAAGTCCAAAGCTGTTGCAGTCCAAAAAATGAAACTGTACAATGTTGCCGCCCTAAGAAGAAGATCGAAACTCCTTCGAAAACTTCACCAAATCAGATGTTGTTTGTAGGGAGAATAGATCAGGTCTAGGAGACACCAGATCCGAAGTTTGGCCTCAAACCAATGTTTCCCAAGATAGATCTAAAGAAATCTCTCCTGTTGGTTGCACAAAGAAGAAAGAGCAGAAAAGGGTTGATCAAGACAGCCCTAATGCGGCAGGTTTACTGCTTCTAGTAAGGTTCAAGAGAGCGACAAAATAGATCAGAGAGCAACCTGCTCTGATACCATGTCAACACTCTTGGCCAAATAGAGAAAAGAACAAGAATACTCTTAGAGGTGTCAAGAATGAATGACCCCCACCTCAAAGAGTCTCTTATATATTAAAAGATATGTACAATTACAAGAATGCCCATGCAAGGCTGAAAGAGAAAAGAAGAATAAGATGTAAAAGTAATATACAACAAGGACTATACTAATAAGGTACATCAAGTTATAGAGTCTCCACATTTCTTACCCTTTGCAAGGTCGGAAGACCAACTGACTAATTCTCACTAAAGGCCTTCATCATCCAAAGTTTGCCAAGAACCTAGGCAAGCTGGGCATGATTGACATATATGCTCAACTTGAGGGGGAGTGTTGGGATTGTTTGGGACTTTGGGTGCAAGGGTATTCTTGTCTTTTTTGTTCTTTCGTATTTCGGCTCCCATATGAGGGCTTACTTGTAATTTCTCTCAATAATATAAAATCTCAAATTTGAGAGAGTGAACAAAGTAACTCTCTTCTCCATAATTCCCTTTCTCTTTTCTTCTCTTTTCTTCTCTTCTTGTTTTCTTTCTCAATAAAACCCTAGATATTACAACTTCCAGCATTATAGGTTTTTCGCCCAACAAACTGCCCTTTTTTGAGAATATGCCTAGCTTGTTTGCTGAGGAGAAGATAAATAAGAATAAACTTTGGATTAACTTTTTTATCTTCAAACCCCTCCTTTGGATTCCACTCTTCCGGAGACCACTTTTCAGATGTACTTATAAATGGCCAAATGAGAATATCAAATGTACTGATAGCATGGGAATATCATAGACAATCTAGTAAGGAAGCTTTATTAAATGTAATTATTCAAAATGTATTGCATTACTGATGTGAATATAATGTTTCATTGATATTTTATTTCATCAATGAATGTCTAGGTTCCTAAAAGTTACAAGAGTATACATACAACTAGCCTATTATACATGTATAGATGCATGATCATCTGTGTTTGGAGAAAGAGATAATGTGTAGTTAAACCAATATTTTTTGTCCAAACAACAAAGAATGTCCAATGGTAGTTCATAGAGCCATTAGTAAACTAGTGGTAACTCTTGGGGAGGTTAAGCATAACCTACCAGTACAGAAATATTGTATTCATGTGCTAATTTCTTTAGCAAAAATCCAGTAAATATCATCAAAGAATGTCCTGCATTTTCAATCCAGTATGATAAATCAATGAGAATCAAATTCAGAACAAATTCATCTCCTGCCAAATATGCAGGTAAGAAACAAAAAAAACTGTGGCACAAGCAAAAACAAAATGCACCTATACAAGTTTACGTTCAGTATTGACAGCTGCTGCTTAGTAACCGGGGAATTAATTAAAAAGGGCAACCCAAGAAAAGGGAGGGAAGGAGAGAGAGAGAGGGGGGGTCTCATGCACCAATATATAAAATGGTGCATATAGGTGCCAACAGTTGTTCATTCTATAATTTGCATCTTCTGGGTGATAGTATGCTCTTTAGTCAGTCTAGCAAGACTCTGTCTACTTGTATTCTGAAAAGTTCCAGAGTGATTGATTGATTTAATATACTATATGACATAGTATGTGTATGACTGACATATACTCTCTCTTTGTACAGACCACATTTTCCTCTGATTAATCCAGTTTTTTTATATTCTGATCAATACAGCTTCACTTACCTATTTTAAAGGGGGAAAAATTACTGGCTAGGTTATATTAACACAATACAAGATGCTTTTAAGATCCAATAAAGATACTGAACTCTGATAGGACAAATAGAATGTGCACTGGTCTCTGTCTCCTATTTCAAGAAAGGGTTACTTGGACAGAAATTGGAACATAATGCTAGTTTTTGAATGGCTAACAACTTGATGAGATAACTTGTTCTGGGATGACATTAACTAGGAAAATCAACACATTTCTAATGATCTAGTTCAGGTCCCAGACAAACTGTTTACTCCAATTCAGCAGTTAGCACTTACAACTCCACTTGGCAGAAGACCCGTCTCTGTGCACTTCAAAGCTTCATAACAAAATAGAGTACTTTAGATTCAAGCCAAAGTGGCAAGTTTGAATATGCTGCATATCAGTGACTAAAACATATATTCTGGTCAATTCCAAATTTATCTGAACAAACAAGAGAAAAAGATAAAGAAAAAGAAACATAAGAAGAGGAAAGGAGAAGGCAACCAAGTTAATGATACTAAATAAAACTTCCCCATGCAACTCAATTATTGACAAGCATCTCTGTGTAAAGAAGATCTGATTTTGGATACTTATGGCACCACTTACTGGCAGGTTTTGCTTTATTCTTGCCTAAACCAAGCTTATTTACTCGGTAAACAAATGATTGCAGCAGCAGCAGCAGCAATAAGAAAAACAATAACATTTTCTGGTAATAAATAAAAAATAAAATTTTAATGAAAAGATAGAAGGTACAGAGAAGGTGACAAGATATCACTCGCAACAAAGGACAAAAACTTATAACCCAAAAAAACCATAACCCTCCAAACCCCTTGAAATACAAAAATTCTTTCCTCCTCCTTAGCCCTAACAAATCAAAACACTCTTGCTGTCTAAATCCACTCCCCTCAAAGAACCCAAAGTTTGCTCCCTACTCCATCCATACACAACCCTTGCTCATCAACACACCATAAAAAACTTCCCTCACTCATCAGAATCTTCTTTAATTCCCAAAACATTTTTCTTGCAAAATCTTCCTCTCCTAAAACAGATATCCCCAACAAATTGCTTACTTGGACTTCAGTTTCCACTACCTTTTCCAAATCCACCATCTTTTTTCTATTTTTCTAACTCAATCTACAATCACCTCCTCATCTTCCTCTTTCCCCTCCTCAGACTTATTCTAATTCATCTTTCTCCTGAAACAAAGCCTCCTCTCTTACCCCAACACCTAATTTGTGAGTTTCAGGATTAGAGCCCAACTTCAAACATTCTTGATTCTGACTAAGGTGCCTTTCCAATCTCCACTCTATCCAAACAGACCTTGTCTTCAAACAAGCAACCATGCATTATTCACCACAATAAAATTTCAAGGTAAATACATCCAGTAAGATAACTTGCCAATAAACTTTCCAATGAGAACTTCTCAAGGTAAAAATGTACTACACAGTTATATTATCCTTAGAATAACCAATATATAATCCTTGGAACATACAAGGATGTATAATCGTTTACCATGTGCACCATTGCCACCAAGAATTGGGGTTATGAGGGATGAGATGGAGTCGATAATAAGCAACCGCAACTTACAATCTCCAGTATTTACCTGAATCAGTTTTCCAGAATTCAATGACAAGAATTGGTTTACAAGATAATGCCATTCATAGTACTTGGAGAAATACCTGAAATTGCAATTTGAGTTCTAGTTGACGTAACACATCCAAGAGGGAGAAAATGTCAAACACAGATTGGCATAATATGCTGCTCATAACTCTTTTAAGACCTTTTTGTGTCACCTGCAAGGAAAAATTAATGAGAAAAACCCCCATAGAAGAATGGGGAAAAATAACAGAGATAATAGACCAAACCTCCTCAACAGGTGTGTTGAAGTGTTGATTGATAAAGCATGCCATGCGCCTAGGTGAAAAGGAGTTGCATGTATCTAAGAACATAACAACACCCATGAACTTGACTGCAACATTTGAAGCAGCCTGTAGGCAAACCTGAACATATTTGCAGGATCAAATCCAACAATAAGGCTTTGATCTACCAATTTAATGAGTGATCAAAGCAGCATAACAAATAATATAAAATCCACATAACAACCTGAAATTTAGGCCCATTTATAATTGACCAAGTAGAAAATTATCACTTTCAGAACATTGAAATTCTTACTTGTGTTTTACCAGAAGGTGATGGCCCAACTAGTTCCGTTACATGACCCACACGTAATCCACCTTGTAGAAGCATATCAATCCTGACCCACATTAACCATAAAAACTAAGTCTCTTAATAGCAAGATATCCTGGGCGTAACATAAGTACAGAGTTGGATATTGAGTTCAAGTACCCTTCACAACCAGTTGGCAGGACATGCTTATTCTTTTGAGCATCTCCCAACAACTCCACACCATTTGACCATGGCTGATGCTGACTTCCTATGATAGAGATAACTTGACTAATTCCCTAATTGAATATAGTATAATAAGGGCAAGTACATTCATCATATGGTTTAAGATTATCACAGAGAAACACTAACCTCCCTCAATTCCTCTGAAGAAGACTGTTGTTCTGCAGAAGCAACTAATGAATAGAGGTCATGAACAAGAAAGTCTTCCACTGCATAAGATACATACATGAAACATAAATTTAATAATTCAAGTACAAAATGCTAACCAGATTCCTTGTGCATAGAAACAATTGAATGATAAACCAATCTCAGGCACATACTTTAATTGAACCACCATTTCTCCACACAAAATATTCCTCAGTATTTGTTATTCTCTTGGAGCTTAATAGAGAGGAGGATTAATGTAATTGACAATTCAGAGAAAATTCTGATACATCAATAATATAGATTAACCCAGTGGTTCAATCTTGTCCTGATATAGCAGACAGCTTGACTTGCAAATTCCTGTCCATCAATAATGAAACAGACAGTATATCAACGTTCAGTTTTTCTGATGGAACCATAACTTGCTTAAGATAAGTCACAGGACCCTATTAACTGCACATCAGTTGGTTTCAATATAATGCAGCGAACCTTCCACTGCACTTCAGCAGTTTACTCCTTCAGTCTGCTGATCCTCCTTGTCTAAAGCCTAAAAATTCTACTATGCCCCAACCCATTAACGCAGTTAAGTTTTTACTGTATATTCAGAGTGCAAGACTTGGGCGAAGAAATTGAACCATTTCAACATTGAATCTTAGGTTATTTAACAAAGCCAAAATTCATTAAAAATCAAAACATTTATTGCACCAATTCAAGTGTTACAAAACAAATTCCAGATTTTACAAAGTCGGTAATAATGAAGTTCAAGCACATGGAATAAGAGGAACCCCAGAGAACCCCCATTCAGTATTGTAGAGAATCAACTAAGTAAAGCTGGGAAGTACTCGTCCCTTTTAGCAGTAACTAGTCGGGCCGCCAAATTTCAAACAGAAAAGGAAAATTCATAGGAGTACAAAAAAACATCTCATAAATGGATCCAAACTTAAAAGCTAAGGTTTCTTGCCATTTAGAAATCTAGATAGCAAAACAAAACCCTAAAATGCTACAAATCTTAAGTTGCGGATATTGTAGAGGAGCCCTTCAATCGATCACTATTTTCAAGAAATGAAAGTCTTAAACGACGCGAAGGCAGAGTAGGACCTGAATAAATGCCGTGAGAAGCACAAAACTGCTGAAAATTGCAGTCGATAATTGGAAACTCACGCTGCAGCGATTTCAATGGAGCCATTTCATTCAGAGGCTCTCGTGCATGCGTTACAACAATAAAATCAAATATTGTAGTTTACTGGTTTGGTGGGGATCCTTTTTTCTGGTAGGCAATTTGGCGGCAATCCAGATCTGAAAGAGGGGAGGCATTGGGTTTTAGGGTGCCCTGCCCGCTATACTCTATCGAGTTCTGCAAAGTAAGCAGCGTCAATGCTCCGCCATGTTGTGATTATCCCGGATGTACATTTTTATACAGAATTTGAAAATCGGCTTTATATTTCAAATTATAAAAACCTCGTAAGACTTTTAATCCATGTTGTGTCCAATATGGATTATTTGAAACACGTCATTGGTCCCACTTAATATTTCAAACTGACGGAGCGCCCAACCTACTTCCATTTTTTTTATTTTCATTTCCCTCCTGCGTTCTATCCCATTTTTCCTCTCTCGTTCACCCAAGCAGGCAAACATGCTACAACCACCGACATTTATCTCTAGTCGTTGAGATCACAAAGAAGCAACCGGAGGCGACTTTTCTTAGATCCCAAGGAAAACAATTGGTTTCAGATATTCCGATTTATCTATCACATGGTGAAGAAAGTAAATGATATAACCAAACGAAAGAATGAAACAAGTGAACTCTGTTTCTAGATTTCCAATTTCCAATTTCCAGGTGCTCTCTGGTTTATCGCAGGGCACGCAGTGGCTCTACATAATTGAAATGTATGAAAAACTATGTACCTTTGAAAAAGCTAATGGCTCCTCATCCTGTTGCCACTTAATAAAACATCTTGTTAGCTTGCAAGAACTATTATCGGATTCTAGCATATATGATCTATTAATGTTTCTCCTTGTAAGCAAACGATTTTTCACTTTTCTTTCGTACTAGCGAAGTGATATATGCAGCCTACAAACAGAATAAAAAGAAATTGATGTAACGCGATCTGGCTGCTCCCCGGAGACGTTCATTTCACCGTTCTGCCCGGCGTTGCAGGAGGATGCCATGGATTCTGAGCTTGAGATTTTTGAATGGAGACAAGGGCTTTTAGTAGCAGTTTTCCACAGACGGCGCCAAATGATGTAGCGCAATCCGGCTGCTCCCTGCAGGAGATGATCTGGCTACCAGCAACGACAGGCTCGATGAACCTGCAAAAGATGAACCAGAGAACCCGGGGTTATTTAACGGCGGGGTCGCTCCGATGCTTAAGTTAGCACTTGGTTGCGAACTGAAAAAGATATTAGATTGTGAGAGAGCTAGAGAGCAGAGATCACGCCTCCCCTCACCCCCGGGGGGTGAAGCCTTTATATACTGGAGTCCTTGCGGGTTCGGTGGAGTAGTTCCGGAATTCTCGCTACGATAGGATCCGTTTCCGTGTTAGTTGGGATAACGCTACCAACCGGTAAGGCTAACCATTTCCGCCTGAATCGGAAAGTGGGGAGATAATATTAACTGTTACAAGGTATGATCCTGTAAGACACGGAATACGGTGACGAGATCCCTGGGGTTGCCATGTGGTGGTCAGTTAGCATTGCCTGAGCTCGTGCTCTTTAGATTCGACCTGATATGAATGCCAAAGTGCCTTGGAACCGAGGTGGTTCTAATGTGACCTTGCACCGAGGTATACTCGTCCCAAGGTAGACTTGTCCCGAGGTGGTCTGGTTATCCGAGCTCGATCCGTTGCGGTCGCCAATTCGGGACACCATCATCTTGGCTAAGTTGTTGCCTAAGTGGTTTCGGGTGTCACTCAGTTGTTCTGAGGTGCCATGTGTCACAATATCGTTGGAGGGCCAAATCCGCCCTCATCATAAACGATGGTAAATCATATGAATTTTGTTCCTTTATTTTTAAGTGAAAAGAGGAACTTGTATCTGAGTTCTAGGTTTTGGGAGTCGATGAGAATGAGGAGGATCCCCTATTTCATACATACAGTAGTAGATTAGTGAACTTGGGGAGTTGAGAACTTAGTGAAGCTTGTAAGACAAATTCCATGCATTTCTATCACCTGAAAAAAGATTCACGCCTAATCCATGGGTAATGGAGATTTTGCTTCCCATTTCAACTTTGCCGAACTCCGTGAAGAGCAGCAACAAGGTCGGCGACGAAGCGGAAGGTGATGTGGTCAGCGAGGACGGAGCAAGCACGAGGGTCGGTGATCTGCCCCCAACCAACATTAATTCCTTTTGCCTCTTTTCTTGGACCTTTTGTTCATAATTGATAGCCCAAGCCTTCGAGCTCGGTTTTCTTGGAACTTCTTTCTCTTCTTTTGTTCTTTTTTTTATGAATGTACCTAACTACTCTTTGTTGCAATCAAGCGTTCCCATTAAATTTTTAAGTGCAAAGAATTTCCAATGTGATATCAGGTCGGCTTATGTACCCTGTTCCAAAATTATATGAAAATTCACTAAGTGTCAGAATGGGATCAAAATAATTCATGAGGTAGTCCAAGCTCTTATATTCAAATATGAGCTTCAAGGTAACTCAGGGAGTTAAAACGATAGTGACCTAGAGGTTGTGGCCCGAGGTGTAGGCTCCTGATCGAGATGTTCGGTTTCTTAATTTAAGCGAAGTCGTCATGCAAATACTGCGAAAACAAAGTTCGGTCCCTACACTGGGTTGTTTCTTAGTGAAATATTGTCAAGATGATGCAAATCAAAGAGAGCTAAGTAAATGAACTTAAAATTCGATGTGTGAATTAAATCGAGGCGTTTAGGCTGAATTAAATCGAAGCATTCATGCTGACAAACTTTCAAAAGTGAGTCACTTATTACATGATGAGCTCGAAAATTCTAGGCGTAGTATTTCCTTAGGTTCTCGGTGTTCCATGTACAGGGTACCAACCTCCTTTCTAGAGTTTCGAGCTCATAGGCACCGAGACCAATGACTTTTGTCACCTTGTATGGGCCCTCTCAATTTAGCCCGAGCTTACCTAAGCCTGGCTCAAGTACCATGACTTTTCAAAGGACAAGGTCACTAAATTGGAAATCTTACCTTTTTGACCCAAGCATTATGATAGTGGGCCACCATTTGCTGGTATGCCACGACCTTGACTTGAGCTCGGTCTCTTATTTCTTTGATGAAGTCGAGGTTGGTGCATAGTTCATCATCGTTACCGTCCTTGTCATACGCTTTTGTCCTGAGTATTGGTACTTCGATTTCGGTGGGTATTATACATCGGTCCCATAAGTGAGGTTGAAAGGGGTCTCGCCATTGGCCATTTTGTAGGTCATTCGATATGCCTAGAGGATGCTAGAGAGCTCGTCTACCCATAACACATTCACTTGGGCCTGTTGAGCCTTCAAACCTTTTAGAATAGCTCGGTTCGTTACCTCGGCCAGCCCATTTTCCTAGGGATGGGCCACGGATGTAAAGTGTTGTTTAATCCCTAGCTCGTTACACCAATTCTGAAACCTGATGTCTTCAATTGTTTACCATTATCTAAGATCAATGCGCAAGGTAGTCCATACCGTCAAGCAATGTTTCTCTAGAAGAAACTTTGCACATTTTGAGTTGTAATAGTCGCTAGTGGCTCTGCTTCAACCCATTTGGTGAAGTAATTTATTGCTACGACCAGGAACTTTTTGTGCCTAGTTGCCACGGGGAATGGGCCAAGGATATCTATCCCCCACTATGTAAAAAGCCACGGACTAGTGAGGTACTGCAGGTTGGCAACAGGTTGCCGAGGTATATTGGCATGGCGTTGGCATCTATCAAATCGTTGAACGAGCTTGATGGCATCAACTTTCATCATTGGCCTATAGTAACCTTGTTTGAAGGATTTCTGTACTGGGGCCCTACCCCTCAAGTGTTCGTCACACAGTCCCCTATGGATTTCATGAAGGACGCGTTTTGCTTTAATAGGTTGGAGGCAATGCAGGTACAGGAGGGTGAAGGATTTCCTGTACAACTACTCACCAATTATCACATAGTGAGACGACTTCCGTCCGAGCTTCTAAGCAGCATTACTGTCTGATGGTCTTGCCTCGTGTTGTAGGTACTAAAAAATTGGGTATATCCAACTCGGTTCAGCGACCTGCACAAGGGTGACTTCTTCAGTTGTTGTCTCTATACTAGGTTGGGGTAAGTCTTCAATATGCACCATCCTTCTTGCATTATCTATGGCACCAACTAGCTTTGAAAGCACGTCAGCCTATGCATTCTTCAACCTCGATATGTGATGAATGGAAAGTGAATCAAATTGTTGAATGAGCTTGTGAACCTTCACTAGATACTTGATCATCGCTGGTTCCCGAGCTTTGTAGTGCTTGTTTACTTGGTTGACGATGAACTGCGAGTTGTTGCACATATGTAGATCTCTCATGCCGATCCCTTTGGCTAAAGATAGACTGGCTATCAAAGCTTCATACTCTGCTTTGTTATTGGATGCTTGGAATCTGAATCTTATGGCGTACTTGAGGCTTACTTCATCCGGCCCAAGCAAAATGAGTATGGTCCTATTGCCCTCTAGTCTGATGATCTATCTACGTGGAGGATCCAAGGTTCTATCCCAAGTTCGTCGATCAGTGCTGCGTTAGTGGATGCTTCTTGACTTGGGGGCAGGTCATTGATCGCCGACGTACTGAACGTGCATTTTGAGATGAAGTTTGCCAACACTTGAGCTTTGATTGTTGGCCACGGTTCAAAGTGTATGTCGTACTCGCTTAACTCAATCGCCCATTTTGTCAACCGCCCTGATACCTTAGGCTTCTGTAGAACTTGGCGGAGTGGTTGGTCGGTGAGTACAATGATGGTGTGTGCTTAAAAGTAAGGTCGCAACTAATAAGCACAAAAATGAACTTCTCGATGTTGGGATATCAGGTCTTGGTTGCATGTAGGACTCTACTCACATAATAGACAAACCTCTATACTTTGTCAACTACCCAAACCAGCACTGGGCTGACAACTTCGTCGCTAGCGGACAGGTACAAAATGAGCTCGTCTCATGGCTCCAACCTTATTAATAATAGTGACGAGCTCAAGTAGATCTTAAGTTCTTCAAACGCGGTTTGACACTCCTCTGTCCATTGGAATTCTTGAGCTGTTTTGATTGCTTGAAAAAAAGGGAGGCACCGCCCCGCCAACTTGGACATGAAGTGGCTGAGGGTGGCGACCCAACCTGTAAGTCTCTGGACTTCCTTAATGGACCTAGGTGGTGTCATATCCAAAATTGCTTGTATTTTTTTCTAGGTTAGCCTCGATGCCAGTTAGGTTACTATGTACCCTAAGAATTTGCCGAGGAGACACCGAAAGTGCACATGCTCGGACAATGTTTTAATCGATATTTTCTTAAAACGTTAAAGACGTTGGTGAGGTCGGAAATAAGAGAGTTAGCAAAATGACTTTTTACAACCATAT